ATAGGCAAGCATGGAAAAACGTGGCCGCAATAAGACGGAATGTAAAAGGACAGTTTTCATATTACACCGTTTTTTTAAAACCTTCACTCTTCGGTAATGTTTATTGTTTTAAAAAGCAGTGATTAGAATTGTAATCAAACCTAAACACAAGAAACAGAATTTATACACTTTCTTTTGTTCTTGAGAATTTACAACAAAAATATTTAAAATATCGTAAAATCTAATACAATTAACACTAATGCAATGCAATATTTATCATTTACCAATTTATAAAGTAGTGAATAGGAATACAATTTTTATTAATAAATTCATAAACATTTACTAAATGATTAAAATACATGAACCATCTATAAGCAAAGCCTTATTCTTTACCATTTTATAAAGTTTGAATCAATTAGCAATTAACTGATGTTTTTCTAACCATTCAAATAAACAATACATTAAAGAAATAGTGTTTATTGTTTTTGTTTTCAATTCTCGAAAACAAAGAAAATGTATAAGTTCACTTTCATATATTTAGGTTTTATTACAATTCTAATCAGAGCTTTTTAAAACAATAAACGATGAAGGTAGTTACAAAAAGCAATGTCATGAGAAAAACTGCCCTTTTTACACTACGTCATTGCGGGCACATTTGTCCATGTTTGCCTACACGTATATATATATATATATATGACAGTTTTTCTCCTGGCATTGCTTTTTGTAACTACCTTCATCGTTTATTGTTTTAAAAAGCTATGATTAGAATTGTAATAAAACCTGAATATATATATATATATATATATATATATATATATATATATATATATATATATATATATATATGTAATCTTATTAGAAATTATGAAAATTTTTAAAGTTATAAATCATAAAATAAATTAAACGTTTATGCCTGATGAATGTCTTGCGCATGAAATGTTGAGCTGCATCTTACAGTAAGGAAAAATATATATATTTTTTAACATTAATAAGCATAGAAATAGTTAGGTTCTCTTATCATCCTATTTACACTCCTTTCTCGCCCTTATTTCCTGTTTAGTAATGTGTTTCCGGTTCCTTCTAATGTTTTCTCATTTTTTATCACTCCCCTTTGCGTCTTAGTAGCATTATCACCTTGCTTGGGGGTGAATTGATTTTTTAAAAATACACATAGCTGTATTGTGTGTGTGTGACATACATATGCCATGTAAAGAATGCACGAACAAACACACACACACAAATTCACGCTCTTCCCATGTCTTTTGAACAGGAGTAGAGGTTTATCCCTTGTTTCCTGTTTCGGGCTGGGTTTTTGGTTGCTTGTAAAGTTTTCTTGTTCTCTTCCACTCTTGCGTCTTAGTGGCATTACCGCCTTGCTTTGAGTGAATTGGTTAAATATACATATATATTTTTAAATAGTTATTTCCTCTTCTGCGTACAGGAGAAAACAATAATTAAAATGAGACCACCAGCTGGATTTGAACTTGCGTCCCACATTAGAGAAAGCTCCATCGTCTAATACGTTTAAAGGTCGGCTACAAAGAGCTTCGTAATAATTTTTTTTATTTTTTTTTATTTTGCCTTTAAATCACACTCATTCATTCGGGGTTTTGGGGGTTTTTTTTTCTTGAAACGCGTATGTGTACAATGTTAGCTTTTATAATGCTACTCAT